TTCTAAGACAGCTTTATTTATGTAAAAAAGGGCAACTTGCTTTGTATGAAATATTAAACAATAACAGAGTTGCATGGATAAAATCAAACTCATAATAGTTGATACCTATTATCAATAGTATTAAAATGACCACATTTTGAGAACATCAATTCAAATATTTATCCACATAAAATACACCAAAGAGCATCCCTCCCCCCTTTTGCAGAAAGCTTATTCTGTGCTACAGTGTGTCAAGCTGGGCATTAAATATAAGTAAAGTATTTAACCCGCGTAGGCTTCAGTTTTCTCATAAGTAAAGCAGGGCTAACATAAGTACCTATGTCGTAAGGTTAACAATGCCTGTAAGTGCTCAGCAGAATGCTTTATAAATATAAATGACAGCTGCAATTGCTGGGGTTCCTGAGACACCACAATTCAGAGCAACTTCTGTTGCCCTGTCCCTCTGCACCACACTGTCCACCCAGGGAATGTCCTGCATGTGGCACACCAGTGGGTTCCCTTCCCTGGGTTCCAGTTGGGTTTGGCCACTGGGGACACTCAGCAGGAGATTATATACTTGGTGTAAGAAGGGTCAGGGATTTTCTCCCACTATTTCTCACTTGGCAAGAAATCTCAGAATCAGGCTGACACCCAAAATCAAAAATAGAAAATTTCAGACTAATACATACATTAGCTAGACTCTTCGACATCTCTCTGCATCTTCAGATTTGCTTAGTTATAGCTGTCTGTTTTCTATCACTAAGCAAAGTGTGGCTGGAGGCTACTTTTTGATATCCTTTGAAGCAAAAACTCTCAATTCTGCTCACATATTTTACTTGGTCTAATTATAAATCCTGATGCAGCTGTAAGAACAAATAGAGCCATCTGAAGTTTTGTCTGGGAGAGTCATTGATATAATCCATCACTGCCTTGATCACATTGCCATCTTGTTTTGACTTGGTCTAATTATAAAGTTAGAAGTGTTTAAAAATATACAAACAGGCCCTCCCTGGTGGCGCAGCGGGTTAAAGCACCTAGAAGCTAAAGCCACTTCCACATGAGTTCGATCCCCGCCTGCCCCTCAGGTGACCACATACATGGCAGACCTCTCCTGACACACCCGCTGCTCCCCTCAGCAGTATACTTCATCGATCTGCCTGTTCTGCTTCCTACTCTGTCTCTGGTGAAGCCTCTCGCCGCCAATGAGCCTCTGGCCTATACCCCAGTTCTGTAAGCATAAATAAATAAATCTTTAAAAAATAATAACAGTAGTATACAAACATAGGCCCTCCCTGGTGGCACAGCGGGTTAAAGCACAGCACTAAGAAGCTAAAGCCATTTCAGCATGAGTTCGATCCCCACCCTGGAGGTGATCCACATGGCCCGGCAGACCTCTCCTGGCCCACCTGCTGCTCCCCTCAGCATATACTTTGTCAGTCTGCCTGTTCTGCTCCCCACTCTGGCTCTGGTGAATCTTCTCACCATCTCTGCACCTCTGTCTTGTACCCCAGTTCTATATGCATAAATAAATAAATCTTAAAAATGGATTAAAAAGTATATGTGTGTGTGTGTATACAAACATATAAAGCAAAATAAAAATAATCTCTAGTCCTACCATTTGCACACAGTAAATTCTTCTATGGTGTTGCATACCTTAAGTGGGATTTTTTAAAGCAAAATTGGGATTATTTTGTTTATTTTTATTGTGTCTTTTTATTCTGTTATTCATCATTATTCAAAAAATGTTTCTAGCACCTCTCTGCCAAGATGCAGTGATGAGTAAGATATACAAAGTCCCTGCCCTGGAGGAACTGACATCTTAGTAGCATAAACCAGCAAACAAACATTTCCAGTCCTCAGAAACATTCTGTGAGACAGATATTGTTATTACCCCGCTATGGTGTCAAAATTCAACCCCGGCATGTCTGGTGATAGACTCTAAGCTTTTAGTGCCTATGAGATACTTCAGTACAATATATTGGTCCCTCATTATAAAATAGTAGTCTGAGGACATAGATCTTTGACTTTTATCATGAAGTTTGTATATGGAAAATCATTCTTTACTATCTTATACCTATATTAAGCAGGGCCTCAAATTCTGTTTTTTAGCATTTTAATGAACTTGTTTTAAATAAGATTATCATTATTCCTTACAGTTAACATGAGAAATAGTATATAATAGCCATGCTAGAGGTCCTGGCATTATTATAGATGACCATGCTTAGAATCCTGGCTCCCCCACTTACTAATTTAAGACTCTCAGCAGTTTTATTTGACCTCTTTTTGCCTCAGTTCCCTTAACTATAAGATGCACAAGAGATAAGTCTCTATTTCACAATGCTGTTGTAAGGACTTAAAACATGCAAACTTACAATAATACTATTCATATAATTAGTGTGTAATAAATGTTGTGTCGTCACTATTGCTAGTTTAACAAATAAACCTAAAAGTTTGATGCTATTTTCTTTAGTTTCCAATCGAGAGGTCTTCACATGATGTTGTCTTCTCTCTTAAATTTCCCCATCCTAATGACCTTTTATCAAGTCTGTTTCTGATTGGAATGGTAAAAAAAAAATCAATGGGCACTAACAAATATGTAATATTAAGAAAGCACAATCCGTATTACATATTTTTAATCCTATATGGGGCCTTGCCCAGTATTTGACACATTACTAAAAAATTTGACTGAATAAGGATGCATAAAAGAATGATCAAGTAAGGCACCAGGTTGAACATGAACTGAAAGTTGTATTTGAAACAGACAACCTGGCTTATTTATTTGTAACTCCTCCGTTTTCTAATTTAAACCCAAACGCTTGAGCTTCTTTATAAAATGTTTCTACTCATGTCAGAACAATGATCAATATATTTGTTTGTTTATACCTCCATCTTCTTCCAGAGGTGACCCAAAATGATTCACGAGAAATTTGAACCTCAAGATGGCACTAAAAATGCAAAGGGAGGTAGTTAAAGAAGGATGGGTATATAAAACAAAGTTAGGTGTAGGGTTAAAGTACCCTTGCCATAAACCCCTGTGAATGGGTTACAAATCAGCCCTCCATTTTCTAAAGCCAATGAAAATTGTCCGCTGGTGAGTTGACACATGTAAGTCACAACTGCACAAGACTGGATGAAAAGAGACCAGCTGCTCAAAAAGATTCAGCACTCTTAGTAGTGGATCCTTTAAAACACTCCCTACAAAAACAACAGCTTACCACATTATCATCACGCCAGCATCATTTGAGAGGAAGTGTTCCTTTAGTGTATCTGTCAGGATCTTGATGAAAAGTATTCCAGTCACACCCGAAGGGAAGGCAAACCAGAGAAAGTCACATGAGCCCTACCTTTGGGGAGGAAAGAAACAATGCCAGGTTTCCAAATTTAAGGGCATAGCATTCACAATAGAAAAGAAGTTTGGTTTTCTTGGTGTATCAAATTTACTATGTTCCTTTCAGTATTTTCATTATGTTTGGTGAGCAGTCTGCAACATTTTATTTTAGTCAAGCACAAATACAGTAAGTCTGAAAAAATATCCTGTGCTATATAATAGGGACTGCTTAAGTCTCAGACAGTGACCCTGCCAACCCTTGGAGTCAAGAGGGAGGATACAGCAAGAAGAAGCTTGGAGATTTAAAGACCACTGTGTGCTTCTTTAAACTGCTCACCTCCAGACCTGATAGAAATTTTATTTGACATGACCAAATAAGCTTCTTTCTCCTACTTTCATAGCAGATTGGTTTCAAAGTCAGATCTGGATTTGAATTCAAGCTGTGCCATTTTCCATGTGTTCCCTGAAATCTCTGTGCATCAGCTCCCTAATCTTTAAAGTGGACATTAAAAATACTGCCTGGGCCCTCCCTGGTGGCACAGCGGGTTAAAGCACAGCACTGAGAATCTAAAGCCGCTTCCGCATGAGTTCGATTCCCGCCTGCCCCGGAGGTGACCACATGGCGCAGCAGACCTCTCCTGACCCGCCCACTGCTCCCCTCAGCAGGTCCTTCATCAGTCTGCCTGTTCTGTTCCCCACTCTGTCTCTGGTGAAGCCTCTCACCGCCCCTGAGCCTCTGGCCTGTACCCCAGTTCTGTATGCACAAATAAATAAATCTTAAAAAAATATAATAATAATACTGCCTGGCCCTCCCTGGTGGTACAGGGGGTTAAAGCATAGCACTAAGAAGCTACAGCCACTTCAGTATGAGTTCGATCCCTATCCTAGGACGTGACCACATGGTGCCGCAGACCTCTCCCAACCCGCCCTCTGCTCCCCATTCTGTCTCTGTTGAATCCTCTCACCATCCTGCACCTCTGGCCTGTACCCCAGTTCTGTATGCATAAACAAATCTTTAAAAAAAAAATACTGCCTAACATATGTATAAGGATAATTATATGTAAATTATCTTGTCCTTAAAAGGTACTCAGGACATTATAGCTACTATCTCCCACTTAACACAGTAACAGGCATACAGTAAATAACACACAGGTCTATTAAATGAATAAGTAAACTAATGAATAAAGATTGCCATGCTGGAGCCTTTAAAAATTAGCAAATCTCTCTTAATGTTTGAAGTCATCCTAAAAGAGTGGTTAAGATCATGGGCTTAGGAGTAAATTGTCTGCATTTGAATTCTGACACTATCCCTGATTATCTGTGGCATCTCAGACAAATTTTCCACCATTGTTTACGTTAGTGTTATCGTATGCAAATGTGATATAGCCACTCCATTACAGAATTAGCATAAGAAAAATTTTATGAAGATTGTAACTGCTCCGAATTGTTCCTGAAACATGGTTGGCATTCAATAAATATTACTATTATTATTTTATGTAAATATACTGTCACAAAACATTCTTTCATTTCTTTTTCAGTACATTTTTTCCTTGTTTTAGTGCTATGGTATCTTGGGATTTTCCAAAAAGCAGGACAAATGGTTTCTACAAACTAATTGAGCTAACATTTCTTTTACTATTTTATCTCTTTTTCTTTTCTTTTTTCTTTCTTTCTTTCTTTTTTTTTTTTGTAGGACTTCATCGTCACTGTTGTCTTTTCATTCTTGTGGTTGGTGGGTTCATCAGCTTGGGCGAAAGGACTGTCCGATGTCAAGGTGGCAACAGACCCAAAGGAAGTATTGTTATTGATGTCAGCTTGCAAACAGCCCTCCAACAAATGCATGGCTGTCCACAGCCCTGTCATGTCCAGCTTAAATACTTCTGTGGTATGTTTTTCTTTTCCAATCTTCATTTGCCAATCAAGTGAATAAGAAAAATATCTTAGAAAGTCATCTTGGAAATATCTGCTTTCAAAAGTAGGCTAATCTAAAAGGTGACATTTCACTTCCTGTGCAGGATGAGCTGTTGCCCCTCACGATTTCTATTGTCAGAACCCATACACTTCAGTGCTGCCAATTACAGTCCTTAGTAAGAACCCAGCAAGTATTGGCAGCTGCTTAGATGACAGTCGAGTCAAAATTCCAAGCCAGAAGCAGATAAAAATAATAGAAAATTTAAGGCTGAAGCTGCCAGAAGTTAAAAGGAATATTTTATGGCATAGAGGTTTCCTGGGAAGAAAGCATTGTGTAAGCTGCACATAGTTAGAATGCATCGCATTGATTGGAAAAAAAATATTCACACCTACCTAGTAGGGTACAGAAAGAAATATATCCTATAAAAAGACTTATAATATTATGGTAATTTTTCATCATCTCTGTGTGTCTGGTTTGGTTGCTTGAGAATGTTGAAAAAGCTGAACTATATTAGTTGAACAAAGTAAAATATTATCATCCAGGGTATGGCTCTTAAAGGATGACAGAAACCCTGACAGATAGCTGGGACTCTTATTCTGTGAATGTAAGGCTTATGTTATTCCAAGAAAGAAGCTCTGTCTGAGAAAGACAAGCTATAGTGGCAGCAAAAAACAATAGTTACAGAAGAATAGAAGGCCCAGCGGTATTTGCTAAAGAAAAAACATTCGTTAGCAACCCTAGGAATAATTATCTTTGCATCAAGTTCACCTTATTTTTCTAGAGCTCTCCAAAATTTAATTTTGGAAGGTATTTAAGAAAGAAAAAGGGTAACTAATCAGCATCTTGTGATTTGACTGTGAATCTTGTCTGCGCAAGAAAATAAATACGGAAATGAACCATGTTTTGGGGTCTTGCAGTCACTTTTATTTATTTCTACCCAGATCTGAAAATGAATTGAGATGTACACTAAAATGCATTCGACTGCCTCTGTGGTTTATTTATAGATAGTATTTAATCAAAGTTTGTGAAACCCTGATCCACATATCTAGAAGAACAAAGATAAAATCATTTGATGTATTCACTAGTTTGAAAAATCAAAATAAACTATGACATCCTGCCTCGTCCATTTAATTCCATCCCTGGTGTCCCCAATAAATTTTTTGACTAGAAGAGTTTTGGGGTGAGAAACAATGTGAACTCTTAAAATCAAAATAAGGAATGGATGAAATCCAATGCTATGATATCTATGAAGGACAAATCTGGCGTTCCTATACTTCTAGATCCATATCGGCAAAAGGCCTTCCATCTCCTACTGACAGAGCTCAGTTCCAACTGTCTAAACAGAAAAATTCTCAAATCCCTGAAGTCTGTGTTTTCACCCCATTTCTGGAACTAATGTCTGTGTTAGTTAAGATATTTGGATTGCAAGTAATGGAAACTGACTCTTTATCAGGAAAAAAGAAAAACCATTGGAAGGATGTCAGGTAGCTCAGGAAATTGATGAGACCTAAAGAAACAGACTCTAAAAAGGCAATTCTACAGCAGGACCAAAGTTCTAGATATCAGATACCAAAGAACAGTGTAATCAAATTTTATCTGACATTGAATTAGTCTGCAACAGGATTCAAAGTTCCAGAAGGAATCTCAAGCCATTTGAACTTCCACTTGAACCTGCAAAGGAAATCAGATTTCTATTACCAAAAGCAAAGAAAACGAATATTTATCTGCTAAAACACAATAACTTTACTTCACTACAAACTTATTTGGTTCCAAGTCATAATAAACAAGCTTTTCACAAACTGTGAAAATGATTGAAAAGCTCGGAAAAATATCTTTCAAGGATAGGACCCAGCCCCAAGAACTGGAAGACTGTCAGGAACAGTTATCACCCATCCCTCTCTCTTTCTGCATGTTTGTAACATTATTCCCTTTTCAGATGCTCAATAGGGTGGGTTCTGTGATCCCCTTTTCTGCTATCTGATTCTCCAAACTCTCCAGTTATAACTGGTGTGACTATAGGGAGTGATTACTTGATTCATTTTGATCATGCAACTATCAACACTAATAGTACTTATTTCTGTTTTGTATCTCCCTTGGCAAGGAACCTAGAGCATGGCACAAAATGATGCTAAGTAAATGTCAATTAATGTTAAAGGAAGGAAAAAGGAGAGAATAGGAAAGAGAGAAGAAGAAAGGGAGGAGGGAGCCTGGATAAGCCATTCTTCAGTGAGACTAATTAGAGACCAAGATACTCAATTTTGGCTATTGACATCTGTCAAGAATATGGTCTAACTATCAAAGTTTCACTTCAGTTTATGTATGTTAAAAAGTAGTTTGGGGCATAATTACCAGTCAGTAAGCATTAACTAACCTGTCCAGCACCATCTAGCTGCTTTGTGAATATCCTTTTTAACCCTCATATCTGCCCCTCAAGGAAGTAATTATTGTCTTCATTTCATGTAAGGAAAAAAAAAAAAAAAGCAAAACAAAAGCTGATGTTCAGAGATAACACCCTTGCCCATGTCATAGAGCAAGTGCAAAGCCCAGCCCAAAGCGGTGGAGATGATTCCAAGACTGACATTTATTATGCCCCAGTCCCCCTGTTACTAAAATACTGAGATGCTTTGGTAAGTAACCCTTGCTCCAAGGCTCCATCTTGCTCCAAGGTGCCTCATCTTGACTAAAATAGCCCCCCACCCTCTCCCCAGGGCTTTCTGGCCAAACCCACCATCCAGCTACCAAGGGATACTTCTAGGACACTGCACCAGGCCTATGACCAAGCTCAAGTTCATTTTGATTGTTCAGTGTCTTGCCAGACTGGTGTTTTCTCAATATTCTTTAATGTCATCACATCTTTGCACCCTGTTGTTGTTATTTGTCTCTAACAGGAGACTCTGAAAGCTGACTGCCTGTGGTTATTCCCAGGTTAATTCATCACCTCTGGAAAAGACTGCAAAACAACTGTCCTGCACACTGTCATGCTTATCTCCACAGCTCCTGTACCATTGTTTGCTCCATGCTTTCTCTGACATGACTCAGGTCCTTAATGTTCTTACCATACATGGAAAATTTAAGTCTTAGCTAAAAGTGAAGGCAAACTTATAAATCAATGTTAAAAGGTGAATACTCAACCCCACACCCCTTAATGGGATCTTAAACACTGTGAGGAATACCTCATTTGGAGACTTAATGATGTAAGTTCAGACTGTGGAGTCAGATACAATAGAATATGAATACCATGTGACATAGCTTCTCACTCCTGTGCAAATGCAGTTCCCACATCTTTAATGTGGGGGTAATAGCTCCTTTCTCTTAGACTCATTAGTTGATACACACGAAATCCTTCATGTAGAAAGTATTACCTAATAAGCATTCAATAAATGCATGTATTTTCATACATTTATCAAGGAGTAAAACTAGGCGCCTAATTATTTGTTGAATTAGTATTGAAATGGTAATTCCAAAAGAAAAAGTGGAAGAGGCTTCACCATGGAAGAAAAAAGTTAAAAACTGGTGACTGATATTGTGAAGGATTTTCCTAAATTTGTGATTGAAGACAATTTCTGTTTGGTCTACCAACTCACTTACTTTGATCCTCCCTCAGGTCTTTGGATTCTTGAACTTTATCCTCTGGGCTGGAAACATCTGGTTTGTTTTCAAGGAGACCGGCTGGCACTCCTCTGGACAGAGATACCTTTCAGAGCCAATGGAGAAGCACTCAAGCAGCTATAATCAAGGTGGCTACAACCAAGACAGCTATGGGTCCAGTGGTGGGTACAGTCAGCAGGCGAGTTTGGGGGCCCCTGCTGATGAGTTTGGGCAACAGCCCACAGGTCCTGCTTCTTTTACCAATCAGATTTAACAAGGTCTTCTGTGTATCTTCTGGAGCTAGCCTCACCCATTTCCATTTCAGTGGTGAAGTTTTTAAGTTCCCATCAATTATTAATACAGAGAGTGTTTAATGTAAATCAGAAATCTGTAGTCCTCATTAAAGCAAAAAAGCTTGGGTCATGATAAATGATACTTAGAGATGAGCTGATGTGAGGAGATACATTATTCATCATAGATGGCTAGTTGGAGAGGACCTTATTAGATACACACATACTTTTATGGTCATTTTGTATGTGTGTTAAGGTTTTAGAAGCATTTTGTAGCTTAAAGTCTCTAGTATGTAATATGCATAAGGTAAATTAAGTAGCACTGAGTTTTCCTATGCGTTTTGATGTTTCAATGATTTCTATAAGACGGTTTGGTGTACCACAACAAGCATGTATTATTTTTTAGCTGTAGGCCCTGTAGGACTGTGAGACTTAACTATTTGTTTTAGATAATTACTGTGTATTTTTTTAATTTGATGAATCAATGCCCTTAAGATTTAGTGCATGAATAAGCATTTTCTCAAAAAAAATGAATATTTGAACTGTATTTATGAAAATTTTCCAGTTTGCACCATAAATTTGTTAAATGGACGTTTAAAATAAGATATTCACTACTTTGTATACTTGCAAATTTGTCTCTCTGGCTTTACTCAATCTTGACTGCATTGTAACTAAGGGTTGGAATTTTTTTCCCTATTGGTAGTTATTCAGTGTTACATATGATAATTGCCAAATATTTATTCTATTTACTTAGCTAAAATTTACATTCTTGTAACTTTCTATGGTGTTTTGTGGCTCTTATCCTACAGACTGTGAGTAATAGGTCCAGCAACTGTGTTTATTAAGTGTTGTTTTCTCAGAATAATGGAGATACAGATATCAGACACCATAATCAAGAAGCTATCTGAAATATTGATTTATAACGAAAATTCTGGAGAATCTACACTAGCAGGTAAATTTTTAAATCCTGATTGCTTATAAAGTTATTATGTTCCTTGATTTAATTATTAGAAATTCTCAAGTCAAAGCTCAACTTACTATTACTAATTCTGATTTGAGTATTATCCATAAATTAAAAATGACTTCCATGAACCACTCTATCCCAAAGAGGGTTCTCAAGAAATATTCCCCAGAATATATTTATTCCCAAGAAAATGCCAATCTTCACTTCTATGTTTAAATTACATAGAAAGCTCTGGGCCCAGTAGCAAGGGCAAGCCAAACATCTGTATTTCCAGATAAGAGTTGTTACTGATTTATAAGCTCATGTGATCTGTGATGTTAAAAGCATTTTAGCTTTGTTTCTTAGATGATACCTGTGACCAGTTTCTGGATCCTGTTGAATAAATCTGTATTGTGATATTTATTTGACCTTAATAAAGTTATTGCATACAATGCTGGCTGGATATTGGAGAATTACAACAATAGAATCTTGTTAGCTTTAACAATGAAAGAACAAGGAGTAAATGCACAATGTTCCCAGTATTTCACCCTGCCCTAGTCTGATGAGCCCCATGTTGTTCATTCATTCATCCCATCATTCCAGGACCTCCTGTGTAGCCTTTGCTAGGCAAGGTACTAGGATACAATATTGAACAGAGTCAGAAGCCTGCCCTACCAGTGCCTCAGTGAAGTTTATACTCTATGAGGGGAGCCAGACATTAAATTAATCACACCCCAGAATATTTTTAATTTTCAGGGTTATCCATATGTCTCCATGGTGAGAAAACATTTCATTCCTATAACCATAGAAATAATTTATATCAACAGCATTAGGATTTAATATACTATTGTTATGACAGGATTCTAGGACCCCCCCATGACCTACTTGCAGAAAAGAAAATTTTTTAATTATAATGTGTATCTCAATAAAATATCTAAATTATTTTTTTTTTAAAAAATCACACCCCGTGGCCCTCCCTGGTGGCACAGCGGGTTAAAGCACAGCACTGAGAGTCTGAAGCCACTTCCTCATGAGTTCGATTCCCGCCTGCAGCCTGCCCCGGAGGAGACCACATGGCTAGCCAGACCTCTCCTGGCCCGCCCGCTGCTTCCCTCAGCAGTGTACTTCGTAGATCTGCCTATTCTGCTCCCCACTCTGTCTCTGGTGAAGCCTCTCACCGCCCCTGAGCCTCTGGCCTGTACCCCAGTTCTGTATGCACAAATAAATAAATAAATCTTTAAAAAAAAAAAATCACACCCCGGTTATGCCATATACAACAAAGACACAGGACTCCACGAAAAGATAGATCAGAGGAACTTGAGTTACTTAGGGAGAACTCAAGGAGCTTAAGACTTGAAGACTGAGTAGGGTTTCCCATGGACAGTGTGAGAAAAATGAGTATCCCAGGTAGAGAGCGGCCTTTGCAGAGTTCTAGGTGGTAGGAGGCAGGGTCGCTTTATAGAGTTATCAAAGTATAATGAGAAGTGTGGGTGCTGATGGGAGTTGATGGATAAAACCCTGCTTGCGGCCCATCATCAGGAAATCTATCTCTATTCTAAAGAAGCTAGGTGGAAGTAGGAAAGACTTTAAGTTGAAGGACACAGTGAGATCTGAATTTTGAATAGATCTGAGTGGCCTCAGGGTAGAGAGTAGATTGAAAGAGGACAAGAGTAAAGAACTTCCTGGGGATCAGGATCAAAACTGGGTTGGGAAGAGCGCACGGGACGATGGTGGTGGCACATGGGTGAACTGGTGGTGGGAAGTCTGTGGGGATTACAACCAAGATGGAAAAAAAGGTACGAAATAAGGAATGATGTAAAAAATAGATAACTAAATATGAAAAAAGAGAAATAGAAATGGCCTGGGGGGATAGGGAGGAGGGGGTTGACTAGAATTCCCCCATCCACCTACTCCTCTCTTGGAGAGCACTTGGATATGACTACTTGCGTCAGCACTGTTCATGGGAAGAGAATGGTCTCTTCCTCAGACTGTCAAGAACTCTCCAAAGTGGGGCCTCCCTAGTGGTGCAAGGATAAAAATCTCAGCACTATCAAGCTATCACCAGCTACTATGGCCTGAGTTAGACTCCCAGCCAGGGGGCTGACCCACATGGCACAGCAGACTTCTCCTGACCTGCCCACTGTTCCCCTCAGCAGTGTACTTCACTCGATCTGCCTGTTCTGTACCCCTCTCTGACTCTGATGAATCATCTCACCCCTCCCCCTGCACTTCTGGCCTACACCCCAGTTCTTGTATGCATAAATAAATAAAAATAAATCTTTTAAAAAATACCTCTCCAAAATAGAAATCCTCATAGTAGCAGTTCTTCTTACCAGCCTTGGCTGTTGCACAGCACATCAGGGTTCTGATAAAGGGACAATACCACCTGCCCTGGTCAAGATAGAGACATGCTTCCATAGTCCACTGCAGAGTTGTAATAAAATGCTGCTGTAGTCCAACAAGGTTTTGCTAACTGATTTTCTTCCTGCTGGTTTCAAGAAAAGAGCAGCAGATCTGGCCTTTTAAAAAAGGAGAGTAATCAGTTTCTAATTTGGAGTCGCAGCTCACAGCTGTTTCATGCTGTGCTTCAGCTTCCTGAGCCTCCTACATCCTTGGGCGTCGGTAAAACATAGAGTTAAAAGGATGTGTCTGACCTCAGCTTCCTGGGTTAGAATTCCTGCTGTGTGTTACCCTACTCTCCTTATACTTCCTCACCACCTTCTACACAGCCCTGGGACATTTTGGAAGCTACAGCCTGAAGGAGCCTGAGACGTACGGGAGTTTACACCCCTGGAACAACCCTTGGCCGTTGGGGGATGTGAGCATGTCCATAAATGCCTTTGGTAAGATGCTTAGCTTTCGTTAATTCAGTTCCCCTGTTTCTGCGATGGAATAATAATTTACCTCATAGGATTGGTATCAAGACGAATAAGGTAGTCCATGTGAGGGTCTGCTTGAGTTCCCCTGAAGGCAAGGGCAGGTGATTCCGGAGGCAGGAGGGAGGGAGGAGAATGGAGCCAGGGAGGAAAAAAGGGGCACAGTGTGGTGTCACTGGTGAAGATAGTAAGAGCTCAGCTCCACCAGACCTGTGAGTGGTGTGCAGAACGGCCTGCTGAGTTTCAATCAAGGGATAGGAGCCAGAGTGTTTACCTGCAGCCTCCACACCTCGTTTGAGAGTTGCCCACAGGTGTGGTGACTTCCCCACATTGGGGGTTGCAGTTGCCTATGTGATGAGCAGTGCATACAACTTCAGAGAAATAAGCCTGAGTCCTAACAACCAACGGGGGGCTGAAGGACATGTAAGTAGAGGTGAGCTGGCGTGATCCCTACCTCTGTCCAGCCCTCTTCCTCTTCTGGGGACAGAGACGGTAAGGAAGGATAAAGGGGGGATGCATGCGTAAAGGGGGCCACTGTAAACATGAGTTGACATGAGTGTTTAATTAGAGACCACCAAAAGGAAGGCAACATAGTACATCAGAAACCCCTAGCACAGTGACGAGTGAGCATTACCGCTGTCACAGCAACATTTACTCATCAAATGATTTTGATTAATGCTATGAAAAAATTAGATGTGGCATGGCTGTAGGGAGAAGTGGAATAGGATGCTCAATGAAAGTCCTTCTGAGAAGATGCCATCTCAGCTAAGATAGGATGGACAGGAAGGCCAGGAAGGCGTCCATCAGAAAACAGGACAGCACATTCAAGACCTCAGGTGGAGGATGGCAGACGCCTGTGAAGTCCTGATACATGCGACATGTCAGGGGAGAAGAGGGAGTTGAGCTGCAGTTTGGAAGGGGCAGGTCATGGAAAGTTGTGTAGGACACAGGAAACGAATCTCATCCTATGGGAAGTGGGGAACCTCTAGACAGGTAGGTGATTCCATTTTCACTAAACAGATCCATCAATTTCCTAGTTTTGATGTTGCACTGCAGTTCTTCAAGACATGGACACTGGGGAAGGCTGAGAGAAGGGTTCACGGGACTCTGTGCCACCTGTAAATGGGGATGCAGAGAATAGATTACTTAACTCCACCATTCAGTCATTTATGCAGCATCTGCCATGTGCTAAGCTCTTCTGGGTGCTATGGATGTAGATTCAAAGAAGATGTGCTTGTGCTTGTGCAGTTTATAGCCCAGTGATAGGCAGAGGATCTATATTAAAAAAGAAATGAGGTAAATGCAAATAATGCTACATGGTAGAGAGGCTGCAGCAGTTAGTGGTTTTCACTGCAGGCCTCGAAAGGCTGTCAGGGCAGGGCCTGGCTGCTTTTCTGCTGGCCTCTAAGGGGAGGCCAGGTTTACCTTTTCTCTACTCCCTAGAAGCTACCAGGTGTCCCTATGCATATCTTTTCCGAACAATAATGGCATCTCTACATGCTAAAGAGGAAATAAAACAGGATAGAATGAAGGCAAATAGGGCTAAAGGAAGATGGACACAGTGTGAAATGCCAGAAGCCCAGGAATGAGGACAAGGTGACGTGAATTAGGATAAAATATTTTTTTGAACATTTATTTATGTACACAAGAGCTGGGAGTAGGCCAGAGATGAGGAGGTTGAAAACACTCACCAGAGACAGAGTGAGGAGCAGAATAGGCAGATCCACTGAAATACACTGCTGAGGGGCACAGCAGGGGATACAGAAGAGGTCTGCTGCGCCATGTGTGTCATCTCCTGGCTAGGGATCAAACAGTGCTATGGATAACTCCTTAGTGCTGCACTTTAACCACTTGTGCCATCAGGAAAGCCCCAAAATAGGATAAAGTATTTTTCCTGATAATTTGGGCTGGTGCTTGGATCTTACATATGGGTGAGAAGAAATCATCAGTTCTGGCAGAAGAATAAAGTTTTCGTTTCCATAGAGCATTTGTAGTTTGGTATTCAAAGTTCACAATGCCTAGCATTTCATTGATCCTCTCAACAACCCTGTGCAAAGGTAGATATTGTCCCAATTGAGAGGGTATTAATGAAGACTCCCTGGAAATGGACTCTGAAGCAAAATCCAAGTACAAGTTGAAGCTTGGGGATGTAAACCAGGGTGGGAGGAAATCTAACAAATCTTGCATTTTTGACTGTTACAACTGTGGGAAAATGGGGTTGGAGCCCCTGGAGAACATAAGATACAGGGGCAGAAAACATCTCACTGTTAGGCCAACCAAGGGACAAAAAACTGATGATAATTACCCACTAGCTCCTGTCACTCACTGGATGGCCGTTTTGGAGAGTGATAATTCCCAGCACTTTCAGATCACCCTGTGTTAGGGCCAAGTAGCGAGAGCAGAGAAAGTTCTGGCAATATCACAGCTGCTGCAGTGGAAGTCATTAAGTCAGCATGTGTGCCCTGGTGAGTTCCAAGGGCCTATAGATGGGCTGCCAGGAGTTTTTACCATACTGAGGTTTGGCAAATAACTACCAACTTAATGCCAGGGAGGGGGAAAGACAACATAGAATGTAAGT